CTCTCCTCCTACTTGTAATCTCTATCAAATAAATAAATGCTTAAAAAAATTAAAAATAGAGCTACCCAACCCTGCAATTGCACTACTGGGTATTTACTCCAATGATACAGATGTAGTGAAAAGAAGGGCCATCTGTACCCCAATGTCCATAGCAGCAATAGCCACAATCGCCAAACTGTGGAAAGAGCCAAGATGCCCTTCAACAGACGAATAGATAAAGAAGACATGGTCTACATATACAATGGAATATTATATCTCCATCAGAAAGCATGAATACCCAACCTTTGTATCAACATGGATGGGACTGGAGGAGATTATGCGGAGTGAAAAATCAAGCAGAGAGTCAATCATCATATGGTTTCACTCACTTGTGGAGCATAAGGAGTAACACAGAGGACATTAGGAGAAGGAAAGGAAAAGTGAATTGGGGGAAATCAGAGGGACTGTGGACCCTGAGAAACAAACTGAGGATTTTGGAGGGGAGGAGGGTGTGGGGATGGGTGAGCCTGGTGGTGGGTATTAAGGAGGGCACATACTGCATGCAGCACTGCGTGTGGTGCATAAATAATGAATCTTGGAACACTGAAAAAATAAAAAGAAAAGAAGAAAATGAGCTCTCCTATTCTTTTCCCTAAATATTGTCCTGCCTGTTTATCATGTCTAGAAATCTGTTAGTCATCATGGTACCCCAGGCAACACTGGGGAACACATAATGAAAAACAGAAGAGAATCTGAGTCTCTGAATATTTCATTTTGGTGATGAGTGAAAAATCTCTAGAACCTCCCCCCTGGCCAAAAGCCTGTTATGACTCAATATACGTCCTCATTGCTTTGGTTGGTTTGGTATTTTTACTTTTGCTGAGTGTATCCAAACTATATCAAATAACTAAGGGCAACGGTTCATACTGGGAGCTACAGATGCAGAGATAAAACTGATTCCATCACAGCCATCAACCACCTCATGTCTGGTGGGGGATGAAATACACACACACACACACACACACACACACACACACACACACACAGTCACTGCCTTGGCATTAAATGCTGTCCTACAAGTTTTACAAATGCTTAGTGAAACCAGACGCACCTAATACACTCAATGTCAGGGGGAAGAAGTGGACAGATATTGTGAGAATATTCAAATAGCTAATAAATACTCAGGAAAAAAATGGAAATGTAAACCATGATACCTACCAGAGTAGCAAGCATTTAAAAAAAAAAAAAACTGATGCCAAATATTGTCAAGGATATGGAGAAAGAAGAATATTCATACACTGTTGGTGGGAGTGCCAGTTGGTATTTTTGGAAACCTATTTAGAAAAATTAAACTTATGGGGCGCCTGGGTGGCTCAGTGGGTTAAGCCTCTGCCTTCAGCTCGGATCATGATCCCGGTGTCCTGGGATTGAGCCCCGCATCAGACTCTCTGCTCTGCAGGGAGCCTGCTTCCTCCTCTCTCTGCCTGCCTCTCTGCCTACTTGTGATCTCTGTCTGTCAACTAAATAAATAAAGTCTTTTAAAAAAAATTAAACTTACTAAAGTTGAGCACAGGCATACTCATGACCTAACCCACGGAACTCCGCTTTCAGTATATGGAGAAAAACATGCACAGGTATTACCACAACAGTCTGATAAGGAGCTCTGATCTCCCAACACAGTATTTCCAAGAACACATAATGAAGAATTTTCAATGCTAGATTGGTCCTTTTATGTGGGTGGTGGCTGGTACTACATGGCTGCAAAGCCTTCTTAAAAGAATTGTGCTAGGAACTCTAAATTTGTTGTGTCCAAAACAGAATTTCAAAGACTAGAGAATCAAGAGATGGAACTAGAAAAGTGATTAAAGATTTCCAATTCAAACAAAAGAACCCAATACAGTCATACAGTTTTAAGGAACAGGTAATTGCAATACAAAAACAAACAAAAATATCTCAAAAATATAATTTTTATATAATCGCACTCATGAGATGTAAAAATTCTAAATAAAACAGTAGCAAATGAAACCCAGCAGTGCACCAGAACACATACTTACACCAATAATTAACCTGGGTATATCCAGCAATGGGAGAAAATCAATCTGTCAATATAAATTATCACATTAACAAATTAAATACTATACATTTGCAGGAAGAGATGAAGAAATAACATCTGACAACTCAGGAGCCCTTTCAACTTAGATACAAGGATTTTTACTCGGGAATAAAAGAAAGCATTAGAAGGTCATCACTTGAGAGAATGATGCTAACTACCATTCCATTAGAACAAACTTAGTGACTGAACTATCCAACGTTAGGGCTTTCTAGTTATGGCAGCATTCCTCAATGCAGTTTCAGATCCCTAAGATGGAAATAGGTAATGGGAATCAGTATTCCCATGGTAAAGTTTGAGATTACCAGTTTAAATTAAGTCAAGCAAATTTCATTCACTAGAATACTCTTTTTAGTTTCTTAAGTTGACAAGGTGCTTTTGATTTTTCCTTAAGAGGGGATTTAGTAGGTTCTATTTCATAGGCCTATGAAATCCCAGTTTCTCATGTACTACTCAGTAATGGTAATTTTTGAGACATAACTTCAGAAGTTCTGGGACAATTTTAGTTGTGTAAGTTGCTTCCGTATATTGGTTTAGGGTTTATTTTTCTAGCTTCATAGTCCAGGGTGACAGGGACCATGTAGATACTGGGGAAAACAAGGCATAGTTCTGGCTTTCCATCTGGCCAGATGCAGCTTGGTTTTCTCCAAGACACAGTAAAAGGTATTTTCCACGGAAAAGAGCTTCAGGCACATTCTACAACTTCTGATATACAATTTAACTATCATTCTTTTTTCAACAATCTGTAATTGTTTCAATTTTCTTTAATTCAGAATTTATATATACATATGGTAGGACTACATTTTCAAAAGTAGTTGAAAGGTTCACCAATCTTACTAGCGTATAATGGACCTTTTTAATGGAGAGCTCTAGCAGTCTCTGTCTTTTTTTTTAAATTTTTTTTTTTAATTCATTTGACAGAGAGAGAGAGAGATCACAAATAGGCAGAGAGGCAGGCAGAGAGAGAGGGAAGCAGGCTCACCGCTGAGCAGAGAGCCCGATGCGGGGCTCGATCCCAGGATCCTGAGATCATGACCTGAGCCGAAGGCAGAGGCTTAACCCACTGAGCCACCCAGGTGCCCCTAGCAGTCTCTGTCTTGATCAAATGACCAAACTTAGCATTAGCAATAGTGAGAAAAATGGGTATTATGTGTTTCTGGTATATAGCAATGTGAAGTAAGTATCACCAAATATGGTGTATTCTTGCAAAAAATGTTTAGGTCTCTGGCTCTAACTTGACTTTATAAGAGATACAAAGGATAGAAGCACAAATTAAATCTCACCATGACGGGAGAAATAAATCAAGAATGCATGGTATTCTATAAAACAGCTTTCCTTAACATTTCAAGAAGTCTTATAAAGATCAAAATCTAGACACAAGATAACCAAATGCAATGCCTGAATATAGAAAAGATGCTGGTTAGAAAATAGCAATAGGATACCTTGGGAGTTTTGGGACATATGAAGTGAATATAGATGAATATTACAGAATTATTGATAATTTTCTCTACGACCATGGTATTAAAGGATGTTCTTATTCTTAAAAGATACATGCTAATATATTCAGGAAAGAATACATCATAAGATAATGGTGAGTGAGTGTACATATACATACCTAAATTTCAGACAGAAAGCAAATATGATCAAATGTTAATAATTACTGATTCTAAATAGTGTATATGGATGTTTATTATTATACTGCTCTTTAAATTTTTCTGAGTGTCTGAAATTTGTCATAATAAAATTTGGGGAAAGAATTCCCAAACGGACAATTTTTTGTTTCTTTTAAATTTGTAATTTATCTCAAAATGTGAGCAGAGAATTGAAATCACTGGCTACTTCTGTTTGAATTCATTAAAGGCAAATTGCTTCACCTCTCCCTCATTCTTCAACGGGTATATTCCTGTCTACTTAACATCTTAACATTTACTTAATCCACATTTCTTTTCGGCCTTCATTTTTTATGCAGCTTAAGGGATAAACTCTTAATAAAAATCCTCTCAAGTTTCTTTGTGCTTTTCTAGATTTTATCCATAATGAACTATCTGAAATTCAAATGGATGAGTGGTTACGGAAGCTTTTCAAAATGCATCACACCAATGTCCATCCTTTTCCTAAGAATTCACCAGTAGTAATACTAATGATGAAGATAATAAGAAAATAACAAACATGTATTGAGTGTAGGCTACATTCGAGATACTCTTCCAAGGATTTGATGCATACTAAATCCATGCAGTCTGTGAAACAGAACTATTAGTTACCATCACCATCATTTTCAAGATGATGCCCAGAGGAGATAAGCATTTTCCCAACATCCCACAGGTAGTAAGGAGATGGAATGGTGAGGACTGTAAGTTTGGTTTGCGCCATGTGTGAGAGATCTTCTGCATTTGTTACATTTGATAAGGTTATTCTCTAGGATGCATTCTCCAAAGTTTAACAAAGGTTGAATAGTGCTGGAAGGCTTCTATACCTTCACTAAATGAAAACTATTTGTTATAAATTATGCCTTTATAGGTTTAAGGAAGTTGTGACTCACATATTAGCCAAATCCTATAGTGTGAATATTCTGCTATTCTAATCACAGGTGACAAGTGAAGCATTTCTTACTCAAATTATATTGTGACTTGTCTCATGTTTTAAAAACTGAATGTTGTCTCAAATTTTTTCTGGAAAGGGCAAACTTTTAAACTTGTAATCATTCATGAGCTGACTGATACTTTTATAAAATACAATGATAATGTTAAGGCAATATGAAATTGCTCTAAGTTTCCAAACACTCTTATTTTCCACATTCATCTCATGATGGGACAGGTAACAATTTCGTGTGCTGGCACTAGTCTCTAGACAACAGTTTTAATAGTACTTGTCTAGAGGCCTTCCTACATCCCAATTTGAAGGGTTTCTCATTTGGATGGATTCTATGATGTACTGTAAGATATTTTTCATATCTGTAAGCCTTCCCAAATTCCTTACATTCATAAAATTTCACAGCAGTATGAGTTCTCTAATGTGAACAGCAAAAACTGAATTAGGTTTCGGTTCTTCCTACATTCCTTGAAGTGTTTCTAATGAGTACAAATTCCCCAATGTTTACCAGACTTTTGTGCCATGAATAAAGATCTTCACACATTCCTTACATTTAAATGATTTCACATTAGTACAAACTGACATTCAGTAAGACTATATAAAATTCTAAGGCCTTTTCATATTCCTTATATTCAAAGTATTTCTCACTAGTATGAATTTTTGATATCAAGTTGTCCACACAGATGTAAGGCTTTTTGCACATTCCATACATTCGTAAGTGTTCTCAAGATTAAGATTCCTCATGTTGTTTATACACACAAAAATTTTTCTTTCACCTCTTCAATCATAAAGTTTCACCAGTATTTACGGTCTCATTTGAATAAGTTGTCCATATAAAGGCTTCCCCACATCCTTTATATTCATAAGGCTTATCATTACTAGGAGTTCTCTCATGTTGAACAAGGTCTGAGCCATGAACAAAGGTCTTCCCAAATTCCATACACTGATAAGGGTTCTCACCAGGATGAAATCTCTGATGAACACTAAGCTGATAGCCACTACCAAAGGCCTTCCCACATTCTTTACATTCATAGGATTTCCCACCAGTATGGATTCTCTCATGTTTAACAAGGCTTGAACCCCAACTAAAGGCCTTCCCACACTCCTTACATTTAAAAGGTTTCTCACCAGTATGGATTTTCTGATGTTGAGTGAGGTGATAGCCACGACTGAAGGCCTTGCCACATTCTTTACATTCATAGGGTTTCTCACCAGTATGGATTCTCTCATGTTGAACAAGACTTGAGCCGCAATTAAAGGTCTTCCCACATTCTTTACATTCATAGGGCTTCTCGCCAGTATGAAATATCTGATGTCGAGTAAGTTGATAGCCACTACCAAAGGCCTTCCCACATTCTTTACATTCATAGGATTTCTCACCAGTATGGACTCGCTCATGTTTAACAAGGCTTGAACCCCAACTAAAGGCCTTCCCACATTCCTTACATTCAAAAGGTTTCTCACCAGTATGGATTTTCTGATGTTGAGTGAGGTGATAGCAACGACTGAAGGCCTTGCCACATTCTTTACATTCATAGGGTTTCTCACCAGTGTGGATTCTCTCATGTTGAACAAGACTTGAGCCACAATTAAAGGTCTTCCCACATTCTTTACATTCATAGGGTTTCTTGCCAGTATGAAATATCTGATGTCGAGTAAGCTGATAGCCCCAACAAAAAGCCTTTCCACATACTTTACATTCATAAGGCTTCTTACCAGTATGGATTTTTTGATGTTGAGTAAGTTGATAGCCACGACTGAAGGCCTTCCCACATTCTTTACATTTATAAGGTTTCTCACCTGTATGAATTATCTCATGTTTAGCAAGGCTTGAGCCCCAAAAAAAGGCCTTCCCACATTCCTTACATTCGTAAGATTTCACACCAATATGGATTTTCTGATGTTGAGTGAGGTGATAGCCACGACTGAAGGCCTTGCCACATTCTTTACATTCATAGGGTTTCTCACCAGTATGGATTCTTTCATGTTTAACAAGACTAGATCCCCAACTAAAAGTCTTCCCACATTTCTTACATCTGTAGGGTTTCTCACCAGTATGAAATCTCTGATGCACAGTGAGTTGATAGGCACTAAAAAAGTCCTTCCCACATTCTTTACATTCAAAGTGTTTTTCAGCTGTATGAGTTCGCTCATGCTGAACAAGTTTTGAGCCATGACTACAAGCCTTCCCACATTCTTTACAAATGTAGCGTTTCTCTCTATTATGAATTCTTTGATATGCACTAAAAGATTTACTTTTTCTACTAGTGGGCATTTTTCCATAGCTAATTATCATTTGACTAAAGTATCCCTCTTGATGTCCCTGTGGTTCCTCAAATTTGTTTTTGCACTTAGAATTATTTTCAAAAATGGATGCCTCAAGGCCAAAAGTTTTACTTCTTTCCTTCATCTCCCACTGGGAAAAATTTATTTCAAAAATGTCTTTTTCTGAAATTATATTTTTGATCTCATATGTTGACTCCAAATCTGAAAGAAAACAAGAAAACCATATATTTTATCTCCTTAACCAGAAAAATTTACTAGAAAACAAACAAACAAACAAAAAATACTCAATAGAGAAATACAAGACAAACTGGAAATAACACCCATAGTGAATCAGGAAATTAAGCTCACTGCTAAGCATCATATCTCTACCCTATTGAACAACAACCTCAGCTTTGACTTTTCAGCTTTTATGATCTTAATGTTCTGATTGAACAGGTTTCTGGAGCATTCTACAAAGATCACTTTAACAAGTTCCTTATCTTCCCATGTGGCTGACCCCTTAAACCCAATGTGTCCTTCCATCAGTCAAGCCCCTATGTGCCCAAGTGTGGTTCAGCCGAACTTTTAATGACTGTGTAGGCTGGCATGATGAACTGGAACCTAGAAAATCCCCAAACTCAAAAACAAAATCAAGCACACCTGAAACTAATATTGTAGGTCAACTATACTTTAAAAAAAAGCGGGGGGGGGGGACAAAACATTAAGCTACATAATACTTTTTCACAGGAATTTTTCTGAGTGATTGGTGTTGGGCTAGAAAGCAGACAATATTCTGCAAGCCAAGCAGTTACTAAGTTCCAAGGCTCTACTGAAGATGAAACATGTGAAACAAAACCAATTAAAATTATAATACAACCTCCACTTAGCTCAAATCCTGCTATAATCACAGAGGTAAGTGCATGGTCATGTGGGAAGTTTACAGCAAAGAATGATTTTTACATCTAATTTGAAACCTGATATAAACTGAAACTAATAAAAACTATGACTCAGCCTCATCTCAGCTCCATGCTTGGTGGGATCAGCGTTATCACTCCCTCACCCTGAATAACTGAGAAAGGACCATATACTTTTATGGGCAGGGAACCATCCATTCGTTACTGTTCTTCAAAATGTCTGGCACACAATAAAAAATTATGAGGTAGCTAAGGAAGACGGAATGTGTAACATATAACTGCCCCCCCAAAACCCACAAAAGAGACAAAGAACAGATGTATTAGAAATACATCAGTAGGCAAGGTCATTCAATTGTATTTTATGATTCTGGAAGAAAAGATGGACAGTGAGCAGATGGGAAGTTTCAGCAAAGAAATAGAAACTTTAAAATTGTAAAATGGAAATTCTACAACTAAAAAGTCCAAACAGAAGCCCAAAGAGAAAAAAGAAGGGGGAAAGAAAGAACAGTATCAGATCTGTGCAACAAAATCAAACAATCCAACTTCAGGCAACAGCGCCCTAGAAAGAGGACAAAACCAAGTAAGTACTTGAAAAGATTATTAAAATGTTCTCAAAAATGTATGAAATGTATGATAATCAACCTACTTTTAGCAAACTGCAAGCAGGAAAAATACAAAGAAAAGTAACAACTGACAACATAATGACAGAGCCGAAAACTGAAGACGAAGGAAAAAGAGTAAAAGGAGGCAGGGGAGGGAGAACATTAGAGTCAGCGGAACAACCAAACATTATGGCAGACTTCACATCCTTAACAATGGAAGCTACCAATGGAATGATATCTTTAATGGGATGAAGGAAGAAAGCTAGAAAACCTTGAGTTTTACATAAAGCAAAAGATTTCTTCAAAATGAAGGTGAGATATTTCCAGCCCTGGCCATGAAGAAAAACCTGGTATTAGACTTAAGTCTTACACCACAAACAACCAAAAGGCTATAAAATAGGATACTAGATGCAGGGCTGAGAAACTTTAGAGATTATCAGGAGAACTTCATATTCACCCTTTATGCCTGCCTGCATCCTCCAAAACATCCTGGAAAATGCTCTCCAAATAGACAGCGGTGGTCTCACTGGGCAAAGGATAGTAGTATCTGAGTTCAGGGCTGCTAAGGTGGCTGGAATTTGTAGTTCAAGGTGAAGAGAATAAAGGAGCCTTGCAACAGAGTCCCAGAAATCTATGCGGGGATTACCCCATTGGATCTGTAACCAAGTATTAATGTATGTATCCATACAGTGGCTTTCCACGAGGAGGCTGGAGTACCAACACAGCCTCAGTAGAAAGAAGCATTCATCTGAGGCCTCACAAAGCCCATATTTTGAAAGACCCATCATCTGGAACAATAGTTCTCAAACTTACTGGTCTCAGAATCCCTTATATTCTTACTTTTTTTTATATTCTTATTTTTTAAAATTCTTATTCTATATATATATATATATATATATATATATATATATATTTTATTTATTACTTAATAGAGAGAGAGAGAAAGAGCACACAAGCAGAGGGAGCAGCAGAGGGAGAGAAGCAGGCTCTCTGCTGAGCAGGGAGCCTGATGTGGGGCTCAATCCCAGGACCCCGGGATCAGGACGTGAGGCAAAGGCAGCCACTTAATGGACAGAGCCACCCAGGAGCCCCAGCATCCCTTATATTCTTAAAAATTATTGGTGAATTCTTGGCTTGTTCATGCATCAGTGTATTTCCAATACAAAGTTTAGTATTTTTATCTAATGGTGATTTTATAACATTTTAGTTGATTTACTAAAGGGCAGAGAAGTCCTGTGGATGTGTTTGTGGGAAGTAATTTCAGTCACGGCCCATTGGTCATAGCCAAACTGCAGTACCTATTGTTTTACTTAACAATGTCTCATTGCTTTGTATACATTAACATTGTGTATAAGGACTATGTGTATATCCAAAAGGAAGCCAAGGTATTTAAACTGACCAACCTAATATTACAACTCCTTTGAGATGGTCAAATGTAAACTAAAAGGAGTGCCCTTTTGTGCAGTCTAGCACCAATAAACAGTTCAGTAAACTTGATTTTAGTTCAACCAATCAGAACTGCCATGCGAGAACTTGTATTACAATTACTTGTAAGTAAGGCTTAGCAATGCTAGTCAATGAATGTAGGTTTAACTTTTTATTTTTTTTTAACAATTTTTTATTTATTTATTTGACAGAGAGAGAAATCACAAGTAGGCAGAGGTAGGCAGAGAGGAGGGCAGAGAGGCAGGCAGAGAGAGAGGAAGAAGCAGGTTCCCTGCTGAGCAAAGAGCCCAATGAGGGGCTCGATCCCAGGACCCTGATCATGACCTGAGCCGGAGGCAGGCTTAACCCACTGAGCCACCCAGGCGCCCCTAACTTTTTATTTTTATAAGCTTTTTTAAAGCTTTTATTTATTTATTGGTGTGTGAGAGAGAGAGCACAAGAAGGGGGAGTGGTAGGCAGAGGGAGAAGCAGGCTCCCTGCTTAGCAGTCCCAATATGGGACTCGATCCCAGGATCCCGGGATCATGACCTGAGCTGAAGGCAGACACTTAACTGAATGAGCCACCCAAGCGTCCCTAACTTCTTTTTAGTTTAAAAATTGGGAGACCTGAGTGGCTCAGTCAGTTGAGTGGCTGCCTTCAGCTCAGGTCATGATCCCAGGGTCCTGGAATCGAGTCCCGCATAGGGCTCCATGCTCAGTGGGGAGCCTGCTTCTCCGTCTCCCTCTGCCTGCTGCTCCCTCTGTTGTGCTCTCTCTCTGTCAAATAAATAAATAAAATCTTTAAAAAATAATAAAATTAAAATTAAAAAAAGAAATGTTAAAAAATTATTGAGGACTCAAAAGGGCTTTTGTTTGTGTGAGTTATAGTTTGATATTTACCATATTAGGAATTAAAACTGAGAAATTAAAGATATTTAATTAATTCCCTTGAAATTAATAAATCATTGCCTATTAACACAAATAACAAATGTGTGAAAATTATGTTTCCCAAAACAACAAAAAATAATATTATTTTAATTTTTTGTGAATCTCTGCGATATATGGCTTAATAGAAGACAACTGGATTCTCGCATCTGCTTCTGTATTCACTCTGTGGCAATATGCTATTTTGACTGAAGTATATGAAGAAAATCTAGCCTCCCACATATATGTAACTGTTATTTTTTGATATTATAAATATGTTACTCTCTGATACTATAATAAAACCTGAGAAGGGACAGTCTCTTAAAGGTTAGTTGCAAATGTGAAATATGCAACAAAACTATGAACTTTTCATACTATATTACTTTAAAATCCACTGCACCTTGAATGATCTTTTATCCAGACATAATTCTGTAATATCACGCACTGGTCATTTGAAAAATAGTGGTTCACTTAGTTATGCAGATCTTTGAAATGCTGACATATTTCATTACATAATATATTAAAAATCGCTAGGTTAATATCACCATCTATCTCATCAGAAAAATGTTTATGTGTTGGGAAATTGTAAAGCTCAAAATGGTAGCTGTTTCACACAATTCTAATTTTTTTAAAAAATATTTTATTTATTTATTTGGCAGGCAGAGATCCCAAGTAAGCAGAGAGGCAGACAGAGAGAGAAGAAGAGAAGCGGGCTCCCCGCTGAACAGAGAGCCTGATGTGGGGCTTGATCCCAGGACCCCAGGATCATGACCTAAGCCAAAGGCAGAGGCTTTAACCCACTGAGCCACCCAGGCGCCCCCACAATTCTAATTTTTACCTGAGAGTCTGAATTCATCACTGGCAGCAAATTCTGTTATTTATCTTCAAAGCGACAAGCATACTTGTAAGAAAATTTTTTCCAACGACCTAAGTCTGAATAATAATAGTTTGTCTGTTAGGCATTCTTTCAAGAACAAAGTGGTGTTCTGTGGAAAGAACAGCTAGTTTGACCCACAATTCAAACAACCACACAACTGGTTTTTCCCAAGGCAACCACATCACACTTTGGTATAAAACAGAAGAGCTAATGAATACTTCCCATTTCACCACAATGAATATATTTTTTTAAGATTTTATTTATTTATTTGAGAGTGAGGGGGAGAGAGAGAAAGAAAGAGAGAGAAAGAAAGAGCACAAGCAGGGGAGGAAGAGAGGGAGAGACAGACTTCCCACTGAGCACGGAGCCTGATGCAGGGCTCAATCCTGGGAGTCCAGGATCATGACCTGATCATGACCTGAGCCAAGGAAGATGCTTAACTGACTGAGCCACCCAGGTGCCCCACAATGAATATTTTTTTTTTAAAAGATTTTATTTATTTATTTGACAGAGAGAGATCACAAGTAGACAGAGAGGCAGGCAGAGAGAGGGAGGGAAGCAGACTCCCTGCTGAGCAGAGAGCCCGATGTGGGACTCGATCCCAGGACCCTGAGATCATGACCTGAGCCGAAGGCAGCGGCTTAAACCACTGAGCCACCCAGGCGCCCCCACAATGAATATTTTAAAATGCATACTCAAGGATCAAGACTTAATGAAATAAAGCCCAGAGCAGGATATTGAAAGTCAACCAATACTGATACCCTCTGTGAAGAGGGTGTCAGTATAAAAGAGCTGTCCCAACTGCATGCCTGTTAAAGACAAGTGTCTGCAAATAAGTGACCTGGCGTGGGCTGTCACAGCCCAAGTAGGGTGAGAAGGGCAATCACATGGTCAAAGTGATGGTACTGGTAATGAAAGATTAGCTACATTCAGCGAGTTTGAGAAAATAATATATTAAGGAAATGGAAGCCAAATTCTTCCCCGTCAGAGAAGGGAGTTAGAAATATGGAAAGTAAGTTGGTGGGAATGCAAACTGGTACAACCACTCTGGAAAACAGTATGGAGGTTCCTCAAAAAGTTAAAAATAGAACTACCCTCTGACCCAGCAATTGCACTACTAGGTATTTATCGAAAGGATATAAACACAGCGATTTGAAGGGGCACATGCACCCCAGTGTTTATAGCAGCAATGTCCACTATAGCCAAAATATGGGAAGAACCCAGATGCCCCCTTACAGATGAAAGGATAAAGATGTGGTGTATATATATATACAGTGGAATATTACTCAGCCTACAAAAAGAATGAAATCTTGCCATTTGCAATGACACAAACAGAACTAGATATTATGCTAAGTGAAATAGTCAGAGAAAGACAAATATCACAGGATTTCACTCATATATGGCATTTAAGAAACAAAACAGATAAATATAGGGGTAGGGAAGGAAAAATAAAGTAAGATAATAACAGAGAGGGAAGCCAACCATAAGAGACAATTATAGGAAACAAACTGAGAGTTGCTGAGGGGGAGGTGGGTATAGTCTTGTGGTTTTCAATACAGATGTACACATGTACGTATGTATGTACACAAATACATTCCCCAGCTCTACCACTCAGAGACCTGGAGCAGCCATCTTCCAGCAGCAATGAGCAACCCTAGTATGCAAATTTTGCCTTCTAACTACTATTTTCGACGAAAAGGGACCAGGGCACCTTGAAGAAATGGTTGACTTTATGACTGGAGCAGGAAAAGTACAAGATGAGCCTGACAAAACATGCTGTTGTGTCAGAAAATAAGGAGATGCTCAATGAGTGACAGAGATGTGCCTGTGGACACAGAAGCCTCATGAGCGGGTTCCCACAGGTCAAACCTGGGACAAGCTCAAAATTTTGAACTTCAAAATAAATAATAAGAAGAGATTATAACCCACCAACTAAAGATCCAATAAATGAACAAACTGAAAAATCGGTGGAGAGGGATATATTTAATAGTTTCCGAGATTCTCCTCACAAGAGACTCATGAAAGGAAAAATGATTAATTTTACAAGGAGAAAGCCGGCAGACACTAACCTAATCAAGTGCTCCAAGCATCATCAGTAACGACAAACATGTGCTTTACCTGACAGAATGCAAGAACACAGCATCAGTTCTGTGACATTGCTGCCAAAGAGGCGTAAATCTAAGTCTAATCATGAAGAAAAGTGCACACCAACCCGAACGAGGGACACTCTACAAAATAACTGGCCTGTAATCTTCAAAAAACAGCTGGGAATGCAAGTCAAGGAAAGATGGATGAACTCTTCCAGGCTACAGAACTCAAATTCCTAAATTAGTAAGAGAAAAACCGTATTGTCGGGCCCTCCCCTATCTCACCAACCTAATTTATTTATTTATTTTTTAAAGATTTCATTTATTTATTTGACAGAGACAGAGATCACAAGTAGGCAGAGAAGCAGGCAGAGAGAACATCCAGAGATTAAATATATGACATCTGAGTGGGAAATTTTACTGGAAGGGATTACATAGATCAGATACTGCAGCAGAAAAGAACAGAGAATTAGAAGACAGCAATAGAATCTATTCAAATTGAAGTCAGAGAGGGGGAAAAGTGACTGACAATGAGCACGAAGCTTGAGTGGCCTGTTGAATAGTATCAAGTGGTCTTTACCTATGTGATTGGAATCCCATAAGGAGAGAAAAGGAAGAGGATAAGAGAAAAAAGTATTTGAAGAAGTAGTGGTCAAAGCTTTTTCAAATCTGATAAAAATTATAAACCAGCAGATCTAAGAAACTCAATGAAACCAAAGTAGGATAAACACACATACACACAAAACCCATCAAATCACGTTACAATCAATCACTGAAAACCAGTGATAAGGAGAATAGTGGATTCTCTCATGTTGAACAAGACTTGAGCCACAATTAAAGGTCTTCCCACATTCTTTACATTCATAGGGTTTCTTGCCAGTATGAAATATCTGATGTCGAGTAAGCTGATAGCCCCAACAAAAAGCCTTTCCACATACTTTACATTCATAAGGCTTCTTACCAGTATGGATTTTTTGATGTTGAGTAAGTTGATAGCCACGACTGAAGGCCTTCCCACATTCTTTACATTTATAAGGTTTCTCACCTGTATGAATTATCTCATGTTTAGCAAGGCTTGAGCCCCAAAAAAAGGCCTTCCCACATTCCTTACATTCGTAAGATTTCACACCAATATGGATTTTCTGATGTTGAGTGAGGTGATAGCCACGACTGAAGGCCTTGCCACATTCTTTACATTCATAGGGTTTCTCACCAGTATGGATTCTTTCATGTTTAACAAGACTAGATCCCCAACTAAAAGTCTTCCCACATTTCTTACATCTGTAGGGTTTCTCACCAGTATGAAATCTCTGATGCACAGTGAGTTGATAGGCACTAAAAAAGTCCTTCCCACATTCTTTACATTCAAAGTGTTTTTCAGCTGTATGAGTTCGCTCATGCTGAACAAGTTTTGAGCCATGACTACAAGCCTTCCCACATTCTTTACAAATGTAGCGTTTCTCTCTATTATGAATTCTTTGATATGCACTAAAAGATTTACTTTTTCTACTAGTGGGCATTTTTCCATAGCTAATTATCATTTGACTAAAGTATCCCTCTTGATGTCCCTGTGGTTCCTCAAATTTGTTTTTGCACTTAGAATTATTTTCAAAAATGGATGCCTCAAGGCCAAAAGTTTTACTTCTTTCCTTCATCTCCCACTGGGAAAAATTTATTTCAAAAATGTCTTTTTCTGAAATTATATTTTTGATCTCATATGTTGACTCCAAATCTGAAAGAAAACAAGAAAACCATATATTTTATCTCCTTAACCAGAAAAATTTACTAGAAAACAAACAAACAAACAAAAAATACTCAATAGAGAAATACAAGACAAACTGGAAATAACACCCATAGTGAATCAGGAAATTAAGCTCACTGCTAAGCATCATATCTCTACCCTATTGAACAACAACCTCAGCTTTGACTTTTCAGCTTTTATGATCTTAATGTTCTGATTGAACAGGTTTCTGGAGCATTCTACAAAGATCACTTTAACAAGTTCCTTATCTTCCCATGTGGCTGACCCCTTAAACCCAATGTGTCCTTCCATCAGTCAAGCCCCTATGTGCCCAAGTGTGGTTCAGCCGAACTTTTAATGACTGTGTAGGCTGGCATGATGAACTGGAACCTAGAAAATCCCCAAACTCAAAAACAAAATCAAGCACACCTGAAACTAATATTGTAGGTCAACTATACTTTAAAAAAAAGCGGGGGGGGGGGACAAAACATTAAGCTACATAATACTTTTTCACAGGAATTTTTCTGAGTGATTGGTGTTGGGCTAGAAAGCAGACAATATTCTGCAAGCCAAGCAGTTACTAAGTTCCAAGGCTCTACTGAAGATGAAACATGTGAAACAAAACCAATTAAAATTATAATACAACCTCCACTTAGCTCAAATCCTGCTATAATCACAGAGGTAAGTGCATGGTCATGTGGGAAGTTTACAGCAAAGAATGATTTTTACATCTAATTTGAAACCTGATATAAACTGAAACTAATAAAAACTATGACTCAGCCTCATCTCAGCTCCATGCTTGGTGGGATCAGCGTTATCACTCCCTCACCCTGAATAACTGAGAAAGGACCATATACTTTTATGGGCAGGGAACCATCCATTCGTTACTGTTCTTCAAAATGTCTGGCACACAATAAAAAATTATGAGGTAGCTAAGGAAGACGGAATGTGTAACATATAACTGCCCCCCCAAAACCCACAAAAGAGACAAAGAACAGATGTATTAGAAATACATCAGTAGGCAAGGTCATTCAATTGTATTTTATGATTCTGGAAGAAAAGATGGACAGTGAGCAGATGGGAAGTTTCAGCAAAGAAATAGAAACTTTAAAATTGTAAAATGGAAATTCTACAACTAAAAAGTCCAAACAGAAGCCCAAAGAGAAAAAAGAAGGGGGAAAGAAAGAACAGTATCAGATCTGTGCAACAAAATCAAACAATCCAACTTCAGGCAACAGCGCCCTAGAAAGAGGACAAAACCAAGTAAGTACTTGAAAAGATTATTAAAATGTTCTCAAAAATGTATGAAATGTATGATAATCAACCTACTTTTAGCAAACTGCAAGCAGGAAAAATACAAAGAAAAGTAACAACTGACAACATAATGACAGAGCCGAAAACTGAAGACGAAGGAAAAAGAGTAAAAGGAGGCAGGGGAGGGAGAACATTAGAGTCAGCGGAACAACCAAACATTATGGCAGACTTCACATCCTTAACAATGGAAGCTACCAATGGAATGATATCTTTAATGGGATGAAGGAAGAAAGCTAGAAAACCTTGAGTTTTACATAAAGCAAAAGATTTCTTCAAAATGAAGGTGAGATATTTCCAGCCCTGGCCATGAAGAAAAACCTGGTATTAGACTTAAGTCTTACACCACAAACAACCAAAAGGCTATAAAATAGGATACTAGATGCAGGGCTGAGAAACTTTAGAGATTATCAGGAGAACTTCATATTCACCCTTTATGCCTGCCTGCATCCTCCAAAACATCCTGGAAAATGCTCTCCAAATAGACAGCGGTGGTCTCACTGGGCAAAGGATAGTAGTATCTGAGTTCAGGGCTGCTAAGGTGGCTGGAATTTGTAGTTCAAGGTGAAGAGAATAAAGGAGCCTTGCAACAGAGTCCCAGAAATCTATGCGGGGATTACCCCATTGGATCTGTAACCAAGTATTAATGTATGTATCCATACAGTGGCTTTCCACGAGGAGGCTGGAGTACCAACACAGCCTCAGTAGAAAGAAGCATTCATCTGAGGCCTCACAAAGCCCATATTTTGAAAGACCCATCATCTGGAACAATAGTTCTCAAACTTACTGGTCTCAGAATCCCTTATATTCTTACTTTTTTTTATATTCTTATTTTTTAAAATTCTTATTCTATATATATATATATATATATATATATATATATATATATTTTATTTATTACTTAATAGAGAGAGAGAGAAAGAGCACACAAGCAGAGGGAGCAGCAGAGGGAGAGAAGCAGGCTCTCTGCTGAGCAGGGAGCCTGATGTGGGGCTCAATCCCAGGACCCCGGGATCAGGACGTGAGGCAAAGGCAGCCACTTAATGGACAGAGCCACCCAGGAGCCCCAGCATCCCTTATATTCTTAAAAATTATTGGTGAATTCTTGGCTTGTTCATGCATCAGTGTATTTCCAATACAAAGTTTAGTATTTTTATCTAATGGTGATTTTATAACATTTTAGTTGATTTACTAAAGGGCAGAGAAGTCCTGTGGATGTGTTTGTGGGAAGTAATTTCAGTCACGGCCCATTGGTCATAGCCAAACTGCAGTACCTATTGTTTTACTTAACAATGTCTCATTGCTTTGTATACATTAACATTGTGTATAAGGACTATGTGTATATCCAAAAGGAAGCCAAGGTATTTAAACTGACCAACCTAATATTACAACTCCTTTGAGATGGTCAAATGTAAACTAAAAGGAGTGCCCTTTTGTGCAGTCTAGCACCAATAAACAGTTCAGTAAACTTGATTTTAGTTCAACCAATCAGAACTGCCATGCGAGAACTTGTATTACAATTACTTGTAAGTAAGGCTTAGCAATGCTAGTCAATGAATGTAGGTTTAACTTTTTATTTTTTTTTAACAATTTTTTATTTATTTATTTGACAGAGAGAGAAATCACAAGTAGGCAGAGGTAGGCAGAGAGGAGGGCAGAGAGGCAGGCAGAGAGAGAGGAAGAAGCAGGTTCCCTGCTGAGCAAAGAGCCCAATGAGGGGCTCGATCCCAGGACCCTGATCATGACCTGAGCCGGAGGCAGGCTTAACCCACTGAGCCACCCAGGCGCCCCTAACTTTTTATTTTTATAAGCTTTTTTAAAGCTTTTATTTATTTATTGGTGTGTGAGAGAGAGAGCACAAGAAGGGGGAGTGGTAGGCAGAGGGAGAAGCAGGCTCCCTGCTTAGCAGTCCCAATATGGGACTCGATCCCAGGATCCCGGGATCATGACCTGAGCTGAAGGCAGACACTTAACTGAATGAGCCACCCAAGCGTCCCTAACTTCTTTTTAGTTTAAAAATTGGGAGACCTGAGTGGCTCAGTCAGTTGAGTGGCTGCCTTCAGCTCAGGTCATGATCCCAGGGTCCTGGAATCGAGTCCCGCATAGGGCTCCATGCTCAGTGGGGAGCCTGCTTCTCCGTCTCCCTCTGCCTGCTGCTCCCTCTGTTGTGCTCTCTCTCTGTCAAATAAATAAATAAAATCTTTAAAAAATAATAAAATTAAAATTAAAAAAAGAAATGTTAAAAAATTATTGAGGACTCAAAAGGGCTTTTGTTTGTGTGAGTTATAGTTTGATATTTACCATATTAGGAATTAAAACTGAGAAATTAAAGATATTTAATTAATTCCCTTGAAATTAATAAATCATTGCCTATTAACACAAATAACAAATGTGTGAAAATTATGTTTCCCAAAACAACAAAAAATAATATTATTTTAATTTTTTGTGAATCTCTGCGATATATGGCTTAATAGAAGACAACTGGATTCTCGCATCTGCTTCTGTATTCACTCTGTGGCAATATGCTATTTTGACTGAAGTATATGAAGAAAATCTAGCCTCCCACATATATGTAACTGTTATTTTTTGATATTATAAATATGTTACTCTCTGATACTATAATAAAACCTGAGAAGGGACAGTCTCTTAAAGGTTAGTTGCAAATGTGAAATATGCAACAAAACTATGAACTTTTCATACTATATTACTTTAAAATCCACTGCACCTTGAATGATCTTTTATCCAGACATAATTCTGTAATATCACGCACTGGTCATTTGAAAAATAGTGGTTCACTTAGTTATGCAGATCTTTGAAATGCTGACATATTTCATTACATAATATATTAAAAATCGCTAGGTTAATATCACCATCTATCTCATCAGAAAAATGTTTATGTGTTGGGAAATTGTAAAGCTCAAAATGGTAGCTGTTTCACACAATTCTAATTTTTTTAAAAAATATTTTATTTATTTATTTGGCAGGCAGAGATCCCAAGTAAGCAGAGAGGCAGACAGAGAGAGAAGAAGAGAAGCGGGCTCCCCGCTGAACAGAGAGCCTGATGTGGGGCTTGATCCCAGGACCCCAGGATCATGACCTAAGCCAAAGGCAGAGGCTTTAACCCACTGAGCCACCCAGGCGCCCCCACAATTCTAATTTTTACCTGAGAGTCTGAATTCATCACTGGCAGCAAATTCTGTTATTTATCTTCAAAGCGACAAGCATACTTGTAAGAAAATTTTTTCCAACGACCTAAGTCTGAATAATAATAGTTTGTCTGTTAGGCATTCTTTCAAGAACAAAGTGGTGTTCTGTGGAAAGAACAGCTAGTTTGACCCACAATTCAAACAACCACACAACTGGTTTTTCCCAAGGCAACCACATCACACTTTGGTATAAAACAGAAGAGCTAATGAATACTTCCCATTTCACCACAATGAATATATTTTTTTAAGATTTTATTTATTTATTTGAGAGTGAGGGGGAGAGAGAGAAAGAAAGAGAGAGAAAGAAAGAGCACAAGCAGGGGAGGAAGAGAGGGAGAGACAGACTTCCCACTGAGCACGGAGCCTGATGCAGGGCTCAATCCTGGGAGTCCAGGATCATGACCTGATCATGACCTGAGCCAAGGAAGATGCTTAACTGACTGAGCCACCCAGGTGCCCCACAATGAATATTTT